TCAAAATAGACAAAAAATGAGAAAGCCTAAGCAAGTGATGAAGGTCTGTTTAGGTTTGTTATGATATATAAAGAATGAAACAAAGATAATATACACATAATCTTACATTTTCTCTGGTCAGAGTTTAGTCAACTAGAAGTAAAATGAATATATATATATATATGTGTGTGTGTGTGTGTGTGTGTGTGTGTGTATAGAGATTTAGCAGCTTAGCTCACAGGATAGAATCTGAGTAGTCCAACAATGGCTGGACCACAGTGGAGAGGCTAAGAATCCATAGTTGCTAAGTCCACAAGGCTGGATGTCTCAGTAGTCTCAATCTGGCACTGAAGGTCTGAAAAATTCCAAAATATCGCTAGTCTTCAGTCTACAGCAGCAAGACAAACTCACCAGTGAGAGAGAAGGCAAGCAGAAAGAAGCCTGGCGCTCTCCTTTGCCTTGGTCTTTTATACCGGCTGCCATTGGAAGGTAACACCCACATTTAGGGTGTGTCTTCCGGCTTTAGATGATCTAATCAAGAAGACCTCTTTCATTTCAGTTAATCCCAGATCCAATCAAGTTGACACCCGGGATTAGCCATCACAGGAGGCTCCTCAAAAAGCTAGAAATAGATCTACTACATGATTCAGCTGTACTTCTCTTGTGCATGTAGCCAAGGGACTCTATATCCTACCACAGAGATATCTGAACATCCATGTTCACTCTATCAAAGAAATGGAAGCACTCTAGATGCCCATCAGCTAATGAATGGATAAGAAAAATGTGATGCTTCTACACAATGGAATATAATTCAGCTATTAAGAAAAAGGAAATTACAAAATTTGCAGGTGAGTGGATGGAAGTGTAAACAATCATCCTGAGTAAGGTAACTGAAATCCAGAAAGGCAATATCAAATGTTTACTCTCATATGTGGGTGTTAGTTTTGAGTGTTTAGATATGTGTGTTTCATGTGGATTATCTCTAGTGGTTAGAAAACTAATAAAGGACCACATGGGAATGGAGATCTTTCAAGGGAAGAGACATAGAATACAGTTTCATAAAGGGAAATAATGGAATAGGAAGGATTAAATTGCATGGGAGATGGGAGGGCAGAGCAGAGGAAGACTGTGGGAAGGGATAACTAACACTAAAGGCCTTTTGAAAAAAACACATGGAAGCCTACTACTGTAGAACCACTCTAAAATATGTACATATACAAAAATGGTTTAAATGGAGTTACCCTATAATAGGGGGCAATACTCCAACTAGACTCCTCATTCTATTAAATAGAAATATCAGTACCAGTAATGAGTTACCTTTCTTTGAGTTGTTGACCAGTGGGATCCTATAGACCTCCACACATTACAAGCTATTGCCATTGCCCTTGGTTACCCTCCAGAGTTTGACAGTAAGATCCTATTGCTAAAGACACTACATACTTGAGTCACAGAACATGGAGATATCAAGCAAGTAAAGACCTAGAAGCCTCATCCCTACTGGGTAGATTTCACAGTGCTTGAAGGTGCTACGCATGCTACTGGAGAAGCAAAGTAATCATCAGTCTTACTCATCTGTGACACCTGCAAGCTGTAATAACAACTGCCCTGGCAAGATGTACCTACTAGTGGCACATATGTTATGGGAGTAACCAACCACCCTATCCCTCTGCATGAGTTTAAGACATGCTTCAAGAGATGGAACCCATACCCGGCACTGTTATTTAGACCATGAACTTGTAGCTAGATAAGTTATGGCCCTAGTGGAGTACCCACTCTTTGTATTAAATGACTCCTAATGACTTGTTGCTCTACCCATAGATTAGTTTATCTCTCAACCTCATTGGAGAAGCTTTTGGGGGGCAGTAGATGGCAATTAACACAGAGACTTCAGCTAGTCAATGTGCCAAGAATAAGAGTCTGCATAATGCTCACCTAGCCCTAAATAAGACATTTATATCATACCCCTGTCTCCAAGCTTGGGGTCTTTTCAGAAGAGGGAGTGGAAAGACAGTAAAAGCCAGAGATGCTGGACAATGACAAGGCAAGTTTTTCAGACAGAGGGCACTTGTACATATGAACTCACAGCAATTGTGACACCATGTGCAAGTCCTGCTCAAGCTCCATCCAGACAATAGTCCATGGAGAAAGGAAGGGGAGAAGAAAATCCCACCTGAGGAGCTATTGGCATTTCATAGCTGCTGGGACAGGAAGAGTCAGTTTTCTTCAAGGGTTTGACCCCAGTATGTCAACCACAATCCAGGGCACGTCTCACATGCAAGAGTATTTGAACAACATAAATTGGACTCAATTGGAGAAAAAAATCATGAAGTTGGCTGTGTAGGGAGGTGGGGTGGGTCTTGGAGGAACTGAAGGAGGGGAGAATATCACGGTTGGCTTCAGCTGTCACCTCGACATACCTAGGGAGAATTTCAATTGGGAAATTTCCTCTAACTGATTGGCCTGTGAGCCTGTCTGTGAGACGTTTTCTTGATTGTTGAGTGATATGGGAAGACCCAGCCCACTGCAGATGGTGCCACGCCTGGGCAGGTGGTGTTGGGTTGTATAAGAAAGCTAGCTGAGCACAGGCCAGAGGAGCAAGCCAGTAAGCAGTATCCCTCCACGGCCTGTGCTTCAGCTCCTGCCTCCAGGTTCCTGCCCTGAGTTCCTGCCTGACATTCCTCAGAGACAGACTATTAGGAGATGTAAGATGAAATAAACTGTTTCCTCCTTAAGTTGCTTTTTGATCAGCATTTTGTCGCAGCAACAGAACGCTAACTAGAACAGGGAATGTCATCAAAATACAGTGTATGAAGTTCTCAAAGAATTAGTAAAAGTACTTTAAAATAAATAAACATCATCACTGACTTAATTCTTTCCACTGCAATGAAGGCAATGTTATGAGGTTAAAGGGCCCGGGCTGTGGCCGTGAGGTGCTGGCATCCTTGGGCTCCTGGCTTGCTCCGTGTGCCTCTCTGCTTTCAGCTACACTGTTTATACATTTCCCAGACCCCTGGCTGTGTGGAGGAGGGGGAGAAGGAGAAAGCACAGTACCTGCAGCTGTGGCTGAGTGCCGTACCTTTGAATGGGAAATGTTCGCTTCTAAGATGCTGTGGATGGTTTCGTCTGAGATACGGCGGGAGGACCGAAGCTCTTCTGTTAACTTGGTGATGTTCTTTATCAAATCTTTTACTTTTACATCTAAAGAATAAGCAAAAGGAAGACATTCTCATAATAAGTTTTCAGAACTTTTAGTGACAAAACAAAATTTGATATTACCACATGACAAAGATAGATCCCTTCATGATGTCTGGCTTACAGTAGACACTAAGGAAAGACCACCCACTGCATGAGAAAATGAAAACTTCAGGTTGTACGGTACTGTCTGGTCACTGGTTGGCCCAAAGTCCTACACTTTAGAAACAATTTTTTCTTGAATAACAATAACCATAAGCAGTAGAAAACACATTTTTCTGCCTTATTTGCTTATATAATTGTTTTATTTTGTTGGTCTTTTTATCTTCCTGTAGTCTCAGCTGGCCTGGAACTTGCTATTAAGACCAGTCTGGCCTCTATGTCACAGAGATTCACCTGCCTCTGCCTCTCAAGTTCTGGGTTAAAGATATGTGCCACTATACCCATCTTATGTCACTTTTTCAAACAAGAGAAATGTCACTTCAGGATTTGTTAGAATCTTTCAGACTTACTCAGCATGTTGCTGAGTTTGAATTTTATGGACTGTGCAGATGAGCAGGTAGAGACTCGTGAACAATGGCTGGTCCATGGAGAGAATCTCAGAGTGGGCTCAGACCAAATGTTTCCCTTCTTTCCTCTGGTTGATTTTTGGGACCTTAGGGTCTTATGAATCAGAACACATCTGACTAGCCGAGCTCTAGAATGATTTTTTCATTACATATATAGCAACCTTTGCTTTTTATACTTTATTTTAATAATATAATGGAGTAAAAACTAAATTAAATTTTAATCAATCAAATTGGAAAACTACATACCCTGGGTGACTGTGAAATTGCTAAGGAAAGTCATAATGGGGTTCCTTGACATCCAAGTCTCAAGGCTGTTGGCCAACCTAAAATGGCAAAAAATTAAAATTAAATTAGGCAAGATAAAACACCAGAAAGAATGCTGGAATGGATAACACTGCCTCCATTCCAGGAGCTGGGCTGGATAACAAGGTACCCTCTGAGAACTAGACACAAACTGTCCCCTGGCACCATCTGTGTGCCAATACCATTAACAGTAGTGCTCCACTATGTTCTCTCACAGCCCTGCCAAGTGAGACAGGTCAGGCATGGGAAGTGACTTCTCGCAAATGTAGAAAGAATAGATAAAACAAGTCATGGGATACCTGAGAAATTAGAGCCACAGCAGTAAGACAGTCACCTCTCTGTGACTAAGCCCCCGAACCCCTAATTGTGGCTCACACTGATGAACTCCTGAGAGGTTTTAGACAAATATGGAGTGATTTGAAAATATTTGAGTGCTCATCTGTGTATAGTTAATGCTATACTGTTGTCATAGATCACAACATTCTAAGCCCTGTCTCAACTACCAGTGGGGCTCACTGATTGCAAATACTGCTCTTAGAATTTACCAGTGTATTCGTGGAAAGTCTTGCTTATTTAAGCATACATAGTTATGTGTATATGACAGTATGTGGTGCCAACTGTTGTCTGAAATTGATCATTTAAGAATGCCAAGCATCCTCCTTAGGAGTGAGGACGCTGGGGGAGGCGCAAACCCACATTGCACGCACATGTGCATGTGCTGCTGAATGGACCCCACTGGAGGCTGACATTCACAGTCCTGGCTGGTTGTGTTTTCCAAGTTGCTTTTGAAGCTTTCCAAGGCTGTGAAGAGATTCCTGCTAAGATGTTCACAATCTAGCTGATCAGATGAGGACCATATCTTTTCAATCTCCTAAAAAACACAGGAATGACAGAGATCAAGAAAACTATTTATTTGAACAACTGAAGTCTGGTTTCTAGGTAAACACAGAGCTTCAGTTAGTTTATTTTCACATCACAAAAAATTGGAAGGATGCCAATTTCCCCTGTTCATTGTGGAGCAACAGAAAGAACCTTGGCTGGGAGCTACAAGAGCCCAGGTCTTCCTCCTAGCTCTGCCATCAACAAACCTGGCAGGACAGCTTGTTCCACAATGCATGACAGCAAACAAGCAGCATCCTACCAGCTGACCTGGCACTTGCATTCCAGAGCTCAGCTCCCAGTACCTCTCCGTACCTCACACAATCAATAGGAAAAATAAATATATAAATAAAATAACAGACACAGGATTGAAGAAACAGGTCAGAAGACAACCAAGGGGTGAGCAGGTGTGTGAAATCAGAACTGTCGATCAGAGGAACACAAATAGACCCACACAGAGATATCTCCTCGACTCTTCTAGGATAATCATTATTTAAAAGACAAGGGATAAAAAAATGTCAAACATGGAGAAAAGGGAACCCCTTTTATTTTGTCACTGGAGATATAAAATCGTATGACCATGAAGGAAAATATTATATTAGCTCCTCAAAACATTAATGTCACAACTACCATATGATCCTGAAATGCCAAACCACTCCTAGATATATTTATCTAAGAGGAAGGAAATCAGATATGAAAGAGATGGTATTCTCATACTCCCTGCAGCATGATTCACCAGAAACAAGATACAGAGCCAGCCTGGGAGGACGGGGTCTACTGACATGAAGAGATAAAGGGAAAAAGCTTTACACACACTGTGGAAGATCGTTCATCCATGTAAAGAAAGAAGTCATGCCATTTGCGTAACATGGATAAAACTAGAAGAACTGTTAATTGAAATCAATCACAGAAAGAAAAAACTGCACTGAGTGGGGTGAGGAGTGAGAACTCAGCAGTGAGGATCTCATGGGCCTTGACAGGACAGTGGCAGAGGATGCTGTCTGCTTCTGCTGAGGTATGTGGTGTGGTTGCTTGAAGGCCCCCTGTATCCAGGCAGGATACAGTTTCTCTATTTAGAGTTCCACTGTCCACTACATCCTCAGAGGCACGGCCTCCTACATATCCCCCTTAACTATCCTACAAACGCGTTCACAGTCCCAACCATCATCTACATGGTGTGGGAGAGGCTAAGGGGTTGGTTCTCTGAGGTCTCCTGGTGTGGTCCAGTCAATGGACAGGGACACTCTCATTGGAGCCCAGTGACAGTACTGAAAACTACACACTAGACTATCCAGACACTGAACAGCTAAACACAGTACAGTGCCCTTTGCCTACCTCTGCCAGGCACAAAGGACTCCCCATGACACCCTGGAAATGATCTACGTGTCTGAAAGCTTCACACATGGAAAGCCTTAGAACCACAGACACACTATGAAGTTTTATCTTGGTTGTCAACTTGACACATCCAAGAAGAAGAAACTCCAGTGGCGGAATTTTCTCAATCTGATTGGCCTGTGGCCATGTCTGTGGGGCATCTCTTGATTGCATATTGATGTAGAAGGACCCAGCCCACTGTGTGTGGTACCATCCCTGGGCAAGTAGGCCTAGGCTGTTTAAGGAAAGTAGCTGAGCATGCAGGGGTAAGCAAGCCAGGAGAAGCAAGCAGTGAACAGCATTCTGCCATGGTTTCTGCTTCAGTTCCTGCCTTGAGCTCTTGCCTTGGGTTCCCTTGATCACAGAGCCAAATAAACCTTTTTCTCTGTGTTATTTTTGGTCAGTGTTTTATCAGAGTGACAGACAGGTAACTAGGACAGTAGATTACTTTATGGTATTTGTGCCATCCCTGGACAGTGGGCCTGGGCTGTATAAGAAAGCTAACCAAGCAAGCCTGGAAGCAAGCAAGTAAGCAGTAATCCTCCATGGTCTCTGCTTCGGTTCCTGCCTTCAGGTCCCTGCCTTGAGCTCCGGTCCCTGCTTCCCTTGATGATGGACTGTAACCTGTAAGTTCCTCCCCAAGATGCTTTTGGTCATGGTGTTTATCACAGAAACAGAAAGGAAACTAAGACACTCTAAATGTCCTGACCCTGACATGTGCAATGATCTGGTTTTGTCATCTAAGCAGGTACTTCTGCCCTTTATTAAAACTAATACTTTGTCAGCCAGTTACTAAAACTCATATACTAATGTGAATTATAAATACAGTCATTGGGTCATTTGTTTCAAAATATGGACTGTCTTGCCAGTTTTATTATCCAAACTTGTCTTAGTACTCAAAAAACATCAAAGTTTTTTAAATTTTTCCATATTTAAAAATATTTTGTTTGTTCATTATTTTATGAGTACAAGTGTAATACCTGCATGTGCACCCGTGCTTTGCAATGCCCACAGAGGTCAGAAGAGGACATCATAGCCTATGGAACTTGAGTTAAGGACAGTTGTTAGCCACCATGTGGGTACTGGGAACCAAACCTCGGTCCTCTGCAAGAACATCCAGTGCTCTTAACTGCTGAGCCATCACTCCAGCCCTATTTTTTCATATTTAATGCATGCTGAATTTGCTTTAACCAAAGTGCTTGGAGCCAGAAGTATTTCTGATTCTAGATCTTTTGGGATCCTGGAATATCTGCACACACATTCTGAGATATCTTAGGGATAGGAACTAACACTAAATGGACTTCATACACATAATTTGAAGGCATTGTGTAGAGAATTTTAGTGCATCTGCATTTTGACTATGGCCTGCCGTGTGTGTCTAAGGGTGTATTTTTATGTGTGGTGTTATGTTTTGGATTTGGGGACATGCTGGATTTGGGATTTTCAGATTACAGATGCTCCACCTGTACAAGACAAAGATGTGTGCAGCCTAAAAGTAAGAACAAGATTATCTAAATAAGCCAACAAGGACACAAAAACTACAGGGACTAAAGAAATTATGGGGACCACCAGAGCAATTGCCTCATTGGAGTGCTTGGACTTCCTGCCCACACACATTTCTCTCTAGAAGCTGAAGGGTCAGATCCAGATCCATAGCTCCCTCCCTTCCTGTGTTTCCTCACCACAGCAGCCTTCCAGGCTCTCTCCACATCATGGGAGTTTGGCCCAGCAGTGTGTGGTCTTTCTCAGAATCACCTTTCTCTTTGCTTCCTGGGAGAATTTAACGTGCACTGAGCATGTTGGTAGAGAGGGTCACTGTACCACAAAGCAGTAAGCACTCAGAGCTGCACCTAGAAAAAAGGCCAGTCTTCACCCGACTGCCTGAAACACGGCCATTGTCTCAGCTTTCCAAGGAATCTGAGCTTGCCTGTGAGCCCAGCAGCCCCTAATTCCAGGCAAGTGGATGGGCCCAGATAAAAGCCACACTCTGACTCAGTGTATGGAGCCCCTGCACTGGGATTCCTGCATATTTGCACGAGTTAATAGAAAAGAAACCACCATGCAGGTTCTCTTCAGCTCTCAGTTCTTGGTGTTTGCCAGTGTTTTCAGTTACTTCAAGTCCATGGTGAGCCAGTAAATATTTTAAAACTATCTCTCCAGAAATAAAAAGATGATGGATGGATGGACAGGCAGACAGGCAGATAGATAGGCAGATAGATGATAGATAGATAGATAGATAGATAGATAGATAGATAGATAGATAGATAGATGATAGACAGATAGAATGATAGATGATTGATAGATGATAAAAGATAGATAGATAGATAGATAGATAGATAGATAGATAGATGATAGACAGATAGATGATAGACAGATGATAGATGATTGATAGATAAAAGATAGATAGATAGATAGATAGATAGATAGATAGATAGATGATAGATAGATAGATAGTGTCTTAGTTTGTTATTCATTGCTGTGAACAAAATAGATAGATAGATAGATAGATAGATAGATAATTGATGGATAGGTAAATACATAGATACATAGAGATGTAGAGATGGATGGATGAATAGATACAGCAAGCAATAGAGAGAGAGATATCAGCTGGATGAATAGATGGATAAATAGACAGAGATGGATAGATGATAGATGATAGATAGATAGATAGATAGATAGATA